CCAACGATGTTGATTATCGACTGGTCTGTACCAGTGAGGATTCTGATCAGACCAATAATGACTGTTGTGACGATTCAATTGGCCAGTACTATGAAACGTAGCTTCATCAGAAAAAAGGACATAATTAAAAAAATTCGGATCCTGCAAAATCATCTGTAGAGCCCACCGACAGAAATTTACTCTGTTTCTCATATCATTAGCGTTTAATGCTTGCGTTAAGGTAATATGATACGGATGATATCTATTACTTCTTAAAATTCTAATAACGGTTCTCTGAGGTATTCCTGTTTCTCTCTCTATTTGTCGGCTGCTGATATGAGGATTTAGGTGAACCAATCCTAAGACAACCAAAACCCTAGCATCTCTATCATCATACTCATGTCTTGGTCGACTTCTTCGTAGATGCCCTTGTCGAGCTCTTTCTTCAAGACGATGAATGGTACGGTGATCAGGATGGCGCCTTTGTGGGTATCGAATTCGATACAACCTTGACGCTTCACGGTAATTACCTCTACATTCTCCTAAAATCCAAATCATATCAACTATCTCTGTTTGGGTAAAATCAGCCATATTTAAAAGATTTTTTCAAAAAACCTCAATACAAATCAACAAAGGCAAAGATCATAGAAAGATGATACAAATTAAATATTACTGAAAACAGAGGCAATATTGTCCAAATTAGATTTCATATGATCGATGGCAATAAGAAAGGTCTCTTATTCAAATATGAAGAAATAATGATAGTGATACAATGAACACAAGCATGGTTAAAACAAAAGTAATATTTAAAGCTTTTTCAAAATTGAAATCACGACTGAACGTATTGCGATTACTTTCTAAACGACTTCCAAATGTAATAGATTCTTCATTGAACATGAAATTTATCCTTATGTATTTAACTTTTACTCTTATTTCTTTGCAGAACATCAGATTGATACTGAAATAGTTTCATTAATTTAATAGACTTGTAATAGCAAATTATTAGCAACAACTTCCAATATTTGAAATTTATTAATAATAATCATACAGTCCGGTGAAAAATAAAAAAGGATAGGGAACGGAAACAAGAATAGTCCCGTAAAATTTAAAAAAATTAAATTTAAAAAATTTAAAAATTTAAAAAATTTAAATCCTGTAAAATTTCCTGCTCTTTCCGATTCCGAGGTCAGAAATAAGGGTTCCCAATAAAAAAATAGACTTGACCTTGAGAAAGCCGTCAAGGTCAAGCTCAAGGTCAATTTCAAAGTCACCCCTAGACGTCCCCCTTGAACTCCTACAACTTTTTTCTGAGTCATTTTTTCGTATTTTGCTTACATTGTTCGATTCTTGTTCCAGGATAGTTTTGACCTTAGCATGACCTTAAGGGTTTATTTTGACCCATGTTAAAAGATGTTATCTGGATGTAAAATTTCCCGCTCTTTCCGATTCCGAGGTCAGAAATAGGGGTTCCCAATAAAAAAATAGACTTGACCTTGAGAAAGCCGTCAAGGTCAAGCTCAAGGTCAATTTCAAAGTCACCCCTAGATGTCCCCCTTGAACCCCTACAACTTTGGTCTGAAACATTTTTGCGTAATTTGCTTGTTTCAAAAGTTATTAGACTGGGGAAATTAAAATGACTCACCCTGTATAACACAGGCCGACAAAATCACGCTCAAATGGCAGATTTACCTTAAGCTAAAGTCATTGAATCACCAGCCTTCTGTCATATGGGTGTCGATTTTTTCGGTCCTATTAACATCAAGGAGAAGAAATTTAGAAATAAGTCAGTCATTAAGACTTATGCTTGTATTTTCGTGTGTATGGTTTCCAAAGCTGTACACATAGAACTCACTACGGATCTCTCCACTGAAAGTTTTCTGGCAGCTTTTCATCACTTCATTAGTCGTAGAGGTGTCCCTGAACATATCTACTCAGACAGTGGTACGAATTTTGTAGGAGCTGATCGAGAGCTCTGCAAAATCTATTAGCTTTTCACTAATAAGTCCTTTCAGCTAATTTGATTTTGGATTATAGTCAACGGAAGCTGGTGGTCCTTTCAGTTTTTTGCAAAGGATTACTCCGCTTGGTAGCGTGTACTACTTTCTATAATTTTTATTATTTTTCTTGTTTTCTTCAGATTGTCGGCAAGACAATCTAAATGAAGAGAGAATAATCTAGAATATAGATTTCGTTGTTCTTCTCAATACTGTTCACTTAAGGTTGATTTGTTCAATTCATATTACGAAAATGTTAATTTTTTATCAATAGCTTTAGTGTGTACGGTGGCCAATCATGCTATCCGCGCGCGTCCTAACAGCATGATCGTTTCCTCGAGCTAGAGGGCACAAGTACAATGGGATCAGGCCTATTCTGTTTGTATAGGCAAAGGGAAAGGCCCTTGGCGACCAAGTGACATTGCAGTCACCCCCGGCGGTTTTCATCTCGGGTCGTCCAGATAAACGACCTCAGGCCCTCGACTAATAACCTCTTTCACGGGCCGTCCCGACCGACCTTTGTGCCATACCTCGAGTTACCCAAGTCCCTAACATTAAAATTTCCCCAAAAAAAAAAAATTATTAATATATTCACCGATGAGATCCCGATACTCGCCTGCTGTTGTCGCTGTTGGAAAAACTATTAGTGCTGCTGTTGTTGCTGCTGTTGTTATTGCCGACTCTTCTTGATTTCTCCAACTAGCAGAGGCACTCGAGGGGGATGGAGAAACCTGCGCCGCTGTTCAGTCTCGAAGATTGCAATGAGGAGGGGGGGGGCGACGGTCCTTGACAGGACCTTCTGACGGCCTGCTACCGATTTTCACGGTCTCGTTCGACGCGATTCCCCGGCATGCGACCTTCCGCGTCAGCGACTCCTGCGGTGTCGGCGGCGGCGGGCCATAACGATCGTCGATATCGCGGCTAATTCTCAATCGCGAAGCTCTGCCAATGTTCTTATTTTCATCGTTCTGATGAACTAGCGCAGCTTCGGGTACAAATTCAGCTTTATAAGCTCAAGCTGCCTACATTCCGAGCTGTTTCGGTTCCAACTTGCTCATGCTGTATAAAAAGGCCATAAGATATTCGCTCAACGATTCACCTCCCCCTTCTCCTCGCCGTGAGTATGGCGGCGAAACGCCGCGTCATAAACTTCCTGGCGCGATTATCGCGGGCAAAATTGTATTCGAAACTCGTCGTCAAACTCGTGCAAGGTGCACCAGCTTGAACGGCGGTACGTCTCCCACCCTTCTTTCCAGCTATGCCATCGGTGACGCGAGCTCGCGTCTCCGACAACCCCGCGTTGACATACTACGTGCCCTCGGTAGGCGCGCGACGCACGTTTACCACCGCCCACACCGCCGCATTAATAGTGCCAACTCATGACGCGTGCTAATATAACGAAAATGCGCCAAACGCCCTGTCCTGCATAATTGCAATCATGCCATTGGTGTCATCCACGTCAATAATTCCTGGAACTGCATCTTTTGAATACGCTCCAATAGCTCTCTAATAGCGGGTATTTTCATCCGTATCCGTCGCCTAAAAGTTTCCGACCGCGATCGCGACTCAGTCGCTTTCATCCGTTGTTTCGGTGACCTTACCATCGGCATCTCAACACTCACTACTCGGCTCAATCAGGTAAACGACCCGAGATCTATTATTTACTCGAGCGGTTCAACGCGCCTAATTTGTATTTCTCCGCAGCGATGACTTTGGTGCGAACTAACTCGCAACTCAAGCAAGGTCTTAATACCTACTTGACACGAGTAAACAAGCACGTTCAACCGTCGTCCGATCGAATCAATAGTCACACAACAGCCAAGAGCAGAGATGCGAAAATCACTCAATACACGCAATATACATTTTAGTCAAAACACCAGGATCGGTCCGTTGCTGTGTACCTAACGTACTTTAATTTTGCTTCTGTTAATCATCTTGACGAAATTCCAGATCCAGAGATCAAACCTAGTATACCCGAAGGAATTTCATGCGCTGAATCTGAATCTAGTCTTAGAATTGATCCATTACCCCCAGTTTCTGAGATATCCTAACCTAAAAGTGCAAAAAGACCGTTTTTCGCTGTTTATGAATTTTTCTCACATCGCTAATTTCCATTTTACTCAAAAACTGGAAAGAGTATTCGAAAAGGCAACTTATCTACTTTAAAAAACACTACCAAATTTTTTCAATTAAAAATTTTAAAGCGGAGATATGGTTATTTGAAATAGAAAAAAATGTGTAGGAATCTTGGAGTTTGATTTGAAGGTTAGCCTGTCATGGGTGTAAGGAATCTAGGGTTCTTGGGGTTTGGGTTTAACCTTAACCTGTAGAAATGTAAAGAGTCAATATTATGTGTGACTTTGAATGTTTGCAATTCTTGTTTCATGCATGTTTTACGTTATTGGATAACTCAAGCAATTGGGGTTCGTAATTTGATGCCAAAGACATTTTGAAGTTATTAATTGTTCAAGATTGTTAGAGTTGTCTGAGTAGATTGCATTATTAACTGGAATTTGCAGATTATATATGAATTAGTAATCTATTTTTACACACCTGAGATCATTTTTCATGAAGCTTATAGTACCATTGAAAACTCAAATTTTCTTTATTTCAAAGAACGATATCGCCGCTTTAAAATTTTCAAATGAAAAAATAAGGTCGTGTTTTTTAAAGTAAGCAACTTGCCCTTTTGAATGCTCTGTCCAGTTTTTTACTAAAATAGAAGTTAGCGAAGTGAAAAGAGTTCAAAAATAGCGAAAAACAGTCTTTTATGCATTTTTAGATTAGGATATCTCAGAAACTCAAAGTGATGGATCAATTCTGAGGTCAGATTCGGATTCAGTGTATCCAATTCCTTCGGATACGCCACGTCTAGTCTCTGGATCTGAAAACTGTTGGCCTGTGTAATTAGTAAGCTTATTTTCGCTAATTATATATGACAAATAGAATCTATCGCATTGTAATATCTTGATCATTCTTATTTATTTATATTGTATATAAAATACTACGTAGTGATAAAATACTTACTGTTCTTCCAATGGTTTGTTTTGGACCAACCGTTATATCAATCTTTCCTCCCATCTGTTCTTTTAAGTTTATGCTATGCTTCACGTATATTGGAATTGCAACTATACTTTGTGATCCGATATGATATGACATAAGCCTAAAATTTCCATCTGGAGGAATAAAAGAGAGAATTTTTTCTGCCTGTAACAAAATTTTATATTACTGAATAATGAATTACATATGGCAAGTATATAATTGCATACCTCCCAACGTTTGAACCGTACGCATGGATGAAAACTGACATCATCTAATAATATAGGATTTACAAATGATAGAGTTAAATCTGGCATACCACTCAATTTTATACAGCATTCAATCTGAAAGAAAAAAAAATATTTATATTATTCTGTATATGCGTCAGAAAAATAAATACATTTAATTCGCAACAAAATGAATATATTACATGTTTTTAATATATTTTTTTCTGATTCTATATTTTATTTTGATGTTGGAAAATAGATGTTGTAATAATTTGTTTATAAAATGATATATTTTATTACTGTTATCTTGAATTTATACATAAAGGAATTAGATTAAACACCAAATTCAAAAATTGACAAATCATATATTGCTCGTTTCACCGGTTTATATCTTGTAACGTGTTATTATATTCTATCACGTACAAAATGGCAAAATCAGATTTTTGGGCGTTGAGCATTGAATGTCGTTATTTCAAAATTAGGTCGTATTGGAGCAATGCCTTTCTGAATCTTACCGAATGTAGTTACGAAGTTGTCCCAGTTTGAGTAGATTCCTGTTTGGAATTATCGCTAAATATTAAGGAAAATATACAGGGAGAATTCAAGACGAGACGAAGTATAAATTATCCTATAGCATGATAGATAAGATCAGTAACAAATTTTATTACAATGATCCAAATCGAACAAAAAGAAAATAATTAGCATATGTGTAATCCGAAATGCAAGTACAAGGTTTACGCGCTGCCGCGCATACGGTAAATTTCGCGAAACTTACACTTGGTAACAAAAACAAAATAAAATGAAATCGAGTCAGAATACCAAACAAAATAATTTGCACGGCATATTTTATAGCATAGGAGGTATCATGGATTAATCTTTTATTTAAACTTCGGTGGAGTTTACAGCAAACTAACGGACAAATTAATTAATAAACAAAGCTTTGAAAACGCAGCCAGAAGCAATGCAAGAGTACAAACCGAAGGCAAATGATAGGCGAAAATAGATAATTTTTCTTAAATACGAACTCTCGTCATTATTTACTTTAGCGCAAATGCTTATTAGTGACGGGACCACTCAACAGTCGATAAATTTTTCCATTTCGATCACCTAGCTCAAGCTACCCCACATCTCCTCTATTGAATTTACATAGATAGAGTGGGCCGAGACAAGCATGTGTGTATAGGTTTATGTATATGTGTGGGTGTGTGTGTAATTTGACCATACAGGTAGTAACTTAGTGCCGAGCTTTGATCGTTTGTCTGCCTTCATTTAATGTCCTCAGGATTGTCGAGAAATAAACGAAATTAGTGAATATATCTTAAGTTCTAACGTAAGTGCCGGTATTGAACAGAGCTTATTGCTGTGAAAGAGATCAGTGGTGGTCAATAGCCAACTTTTGAGCGGCCGAAGTACTCGTTAGATGCAACGGTAGTCGATTCAATTAATCAATCCGTTCGCGATTCTGGTTCTCGCGCGTTAGTACAAATAATTAAGAGAGAGAGGAGGCGCGCGATCATTTGAATAAACAGTTACGCCTCGGCTGTTTACGCGAGTTTACCGCAGATATTGTTTTGCATCGTGTTTCGCCGTTATTAAAGATTTTTATTAATTAAAGTTAGTCAAATTTAGTCGCCGATTACGTCATTTAATTTTCCCAGTAGCTTAAGCGATTTGTAAAAGACTTAGGTTTTAATTCGATTACATCTAGGGGATTAAGTGTATTAGGCGTAAATTCGCCCACACTTAAGATTCATCGAGTGTCACCAGGGAAGTGACTTAAGGTGAGTTCAACTCCGTTCGATAAAAGACAATTAAGCGAAATCATCTGACGTAAAAGCGAATACACGTACAATCATACGTGCTTAACGGAGCGGCGGTTAACTCTGCACCGTGGGAGTTTGTTCTTAAATAAATTTCCTTTTTGTTTTTAGATAACCTCCCCCGTTACCTAGAATATTAATCATATATTGAATCACAATTGATACGGTGTGGTACCTACCACCTATACGCCTCTTTTAGAACTTAAAATACTGAATTATTCAAATAAATATTGTTGGTCTTTGAACAGCACGTGTTATCGTGACTTTTGCCTTTGATGAACCATACGAATGACCATGCAATGATTCGGGAAAAATATTTGAGACAAAAGTTGCTCAAAATTGAGGAAACAAAACCTTCTGATCAAGCATTCAACCTTACGAGTCGTTTTCAAAATCATTTCATGGTCAACTTTATTCTTTTGAAATGGGAACCACTATTTATGAAGAGCGAGAAATTTATCTCTAAATTCGAAGGTTATTTTTAAGGTTGTTGAGTTAATAAAAATTAATTTTAGTGTTATCAAAAATTTATGTTCTTAATTTTTCTACAATTACTATTTTTAACGTGAGATATTATAACTTAAATTTAACGGTGAAGGTATAAGTAATATAATGTGAATAAAGTAATAACAAACTTTTTGGTTTTTCTTTGTTCAAAACAATGTAATAGAAAGAGGAACAAGATTGAATACAAACAATAACATTTATAAATAAGGGAATTTAAGCTTTAAGTTTTTTGGACGTTTCATTTCCCGTACTTTTCAAATTCGATGTCACAATTCAGGATTTCAATCTAAACAGTCATTTTTACACTAAAAGAGACTTGAAAATCAATCTTTAAGTCTAAAGCATCTTAACAGAAAGATGGCTTCTATTGTTCTAAGTAACTTTTGTTGAAATCATTTTTTCTATGGCCGATAATTCTACTTGCTGAAAATTTCTAAGTGGTTCGTTTATGTGATAACCTATAAGTTTTTGGCCAGCCTATACTGAATTTATCAAAAATTCAAAGTTTTGTAGCTCGCTCGGAAATGGTTGTAGGTAAACACGTGCGGGCTCATTTTAAAGGATAAATCAATATCTTTCATATTACACTAGTTTTTTTTAAACGATTGAAAATAGCATTTTTTACACTGGATATAATTTTTTCATTTTTTTCAAACTGCAAAAAACACTTTCTATTTTTTTAAAGAGTCTGCAGAATTTAAAAAAATAAAATGGAATGTATATGTATTTGCCTCCTCTTTTAAATAACTACAACAAAATTCTTTTTTATCGAGTCGATATCAAGTCACGCTGATTTCATTTTTTAAATTACTATTTTTTCAAGTTCGTCTATTATAAATTGCGGACACCGTAGAAAAAACTCCTTAGAGAAAAAATGTTGTTTTTTCAAGAAAAATAAGTTTCTACTATTGAAATTTTATTTTGAAAAAAAAAACTTTTTTCATTTTTTTATCGAATTTGTTTTTTCAGTTTTAATGGATTGGAAAAAAAAATTTTGCACGCATGTTAATGTTTGGACTACTCACGATTTCTTTCATTCGGTCGTGTTTTGCCCGGTCATAATAGTGTCAAGCATGTTTCAAGCACCGGAAACTTCTCCGATTTCGCATCTTTCGTGCGTATCTTGTCGGTGTGGTGGGAAAATCAGCTACATCGTCGTTGCAGCCGGTGATGACATCGATACGTATCCCTTTAGGTTGATGTATGTGAATCGTGGCTTCAGCTGCTCTCAGCTAGCTCATGCGTTTCCCGTTAGATCGTAACGTTGCCCTTGCAACGCCGTTTTCTGGGGTGTTAGAAACAAATAAGCCTGGATATTTCGGTTAGGGTATGCGGTAGCGAAATTTATACAGTTGCACACGAGAGGGAATAGGGCGGTGATGTCAGACCATAAGCCAAATATTCAAGTTCTGTGGTTGGGCGTAAACCTCGTAATGTACCTCATTACAAGTTGATCAGATTCTTTTTTTTATTAAAAGGGAATATTTAGATACGTTACAGCTGTTACGTCCAGAAACCTAATAGTTTTTTTTCTTCAGTCATTTTACGATTTGGTAATTCATCGAAGTCAGCGTAAATTTAATAGACTGTAAAATGAATGGCGCTTAATGACACCTCTATTTTTTGGCAGTTTATTCGCAACACATAATAGCTAAGTAGCTAATTTCTGAATATAATAATATACTGTCAATATTTGTTTTACTAATATTTTTTTACTAATTTTTTACGATTTTCTTACTAATGCATATTGTATTATCACTAATTGTAAGTTTATATTGAAATCGAGTATACATTTTATTTAAATTGATTATTACATTGAACTTACTCGTATATTGAATTTATAACTGATTGAAACTTATCATTTATTGTTATTTTTGAATAATTTACTATTTTAAATGTCAAATATCGAGTCTCCGTATATATTTAATATCGTTCTCAACACTACATAGAAGTGCCACGTAGTCCTTTATAAGATGAGTAAATAGAATAACGTAGTATAGTAGCCAAGCAGCGAATTCGCGAAAAAGTGAATAAACCTAGTAAGTACTGTGTTATTAATTAATTAAATTTCGAAGACAAATCTTGATTATTAGGATCTAGCTTTGATATAGTCAAATGTAATGATCATACAAAATAGTAACCTTTTTAACATAATGGTTCTGACTATATCATATGCTACCTAAACGTGAGTTAATTAATGTTTCCTCTTATGAAGAAAACATCGTGATACAATATGTGCAAATTATATGAATACCTTACACCGGTAAACAAAGATCGTTTGATAATCTCCTTGTAGGCTTATCTACTTAATTCAATACTGCTCTAGCTTATTGATCTCTTCTAAATAATTGGATTTGCCCAAGTCTGTAAAATAGGCGTTAATTTCTGTAATCATCTCCTCGTCTGAATAAAATTTTTGCTCCGCTAGTCATTCTTTATATTAGGCAACAAATAATACTACAACGAAGTCAAGTCTGGAGAATACGGAGGATGTAAAATGAGTTAGAACCCTATTTCCACCAGTTTTGCAACCACAAATGCTGAGATGTGAGCTGGTACGTTGTCGAGATGGAAGAAGATTTTTTTGTAGGCCAATCATGAACATATTTTTTTGCAACTCGGTTTTAAAAGATCAAATAACGAATTCACCTGTTATGATTTCGCTATTATCTAGATAGTTTATGAAGATTATTACTTGCGAATCCCAAAAGACAGGGGCCATAACCTTCTCGGACGTAGGAATGGTCTTCGCCTTTTTTTATACATATCCCCTTTTGGCAATCAATTGTT